AAAAAGAAAAAAAAATGTTATTTGACCTTATTTTGTTTGCATATCATACTAATGAGGGTTTGAAGAGAATGATAATTTCACTCTGGCAGTGACGTACCCATTTGCTTTTTTTTTTTTAATGCATTTATTGTGGGTGTTTATGTGTGGGCATGGCCTAAGGTCAGAGGATAGCTTGAAGGAATTGTTTCTTTTCCTCTGTCACTTGGGTCCTGGAGATCAAACTTGGGATTGCCAGGCTTGGCAGCAAACACCTTTACAAAATAAGCCATTTCGCCTGCCCCAGTACCCTTTACTTTGTTTTCTTTTTTAAAAATCATCTCTTGTGTAACACTTTCTGGGGTGATGTGAACCAGTGTCTACTTACTCCAGAGAGAGAACTGACAGGCAGACCGAAGTAAGGATACCAGCAAAGCCCAGCTTGGTGAAGCACTGTGTTTATGGGGTTACTTACAGGAGCATGGGTGGGATGTCATTTACAGGAGCAGAAATGACTCGAAAACAGCTATGTGCAATTGATCTGAGCTTTTTCCAGATAACTCAGCTTGTCTGAGAGCCTTCTGGGTGGCTTAACTGTTCTCTTTGAGGTCACTTTGGTCTGAGAGTTTCTTTCATGAGTATTCAGTACTTAATTCCCTTGAAAAGGTAGGAGTTTAGGGTACCTGGTTAGTTTCAGGGACTTCCTGAAGCTTTTGGATTGTTTATTTTCTGAGCTTCCTTGCAGGATGGAATGTTCACCTCCCCTTAGAATGTTGTATCTGAAGATCTTCTCTCCAACATGGAGGCTTACTTTGGAGGGAATTGTTGTACACTACCGTCTTTCTGTCTTCACCTCCTGAGTGCTGGGAATACAGGCATGTGTCACCTCTGGTGTATAAAGTATTGGGGATCAAACCCAGGGCCTGTGCATGCTCGGCAAACACTCTTCGAATGGAGTTACATCTCTGGTCTCTGAATTCGCATTTTCTTGATGAGTATGTTTTAGACTTGATTTTAGATATATTTATTGTATTTTGTGTTTTGCCGGAGTGTAATAGTGTATATACATTATGTTTGTGCCTGATGTCCAAGGAGGTCAGAGGAAGGCATCAGTCCCCTGGAACTGGCATTGCTGTTAACGGGCCATTTGACCTCTAAGGGCTTGTGACCCACAACTGGACTGATTTGTTTTCTAAAGGCCTTTCTTTTAATTCTTTTGGCTTTTATTTCTGAAACCCTTGGAAAATAAACACTAGAAAATACATTTATCATAGTGGCAGATGAATGAAGAGATCATCTGGTGTACAAGTTGAAGACTTCCTTTTTTACAAAGAGCATCACTTTTGAAATAAATAATAAAAATTTTGTTGTGGAATTTTAAATTAAAAAAATTAATCTTGCATATTGCCTCTTAACTGAGTTGTCACTGGGAATTGATTCTAGGGTCTTGTACACATTGAGTGCACACTCTGTCACTGAAGTACACCCTCAACCCCAGAAATAAGTTTTGAAATAACACTTGAGACTATGTTAAAGAGTTATACATCTGCTCAACTTTTAAGAAAATTTAGAGACATTAAAAAATTTATTTAAGTGTTTCCTATATTGATAGTATTTATGAGTATGAGTAAATAATTATACAGAATGTTTTAATGTTCTTAAAGCTTTTTAAAAATACTATTTTATGTGTATGGGTGTTTTGCCTGCATGTATGTCTGTGGACCATGTGTGTGGTACTCAGACCAGAAAAAGGCTTTGGATCTCTTGGAACTGGGGTTACAGATGATTGTGATCGACTGTGTAGGTGCTCAGAATTGAACCCAGGTCCTCTGTAAGAGTAGTCAGTGCTCTTTAACCACTGAACCATCCCTCCAACCTTCACATTGTGTGTGTTTTTGTTGTGTTTTAAGTGGAAACATTGGTTTGGCTTGAATAGCCACTTATTAATGAGTGGACAGAGTGGTGTGAGGTATAGAGTGTAGTTCCTTTGGTAGGTACTTGTGTAGACTGGGTATAAGTCAACAGTTATATTGAAGCTCTTTCTATTGCTTGATTTTTGAGTGTGATGCTGAGGTCCACCATTTCAAATAAGAAATTAGAGTTTGAGGGAGCATGCAGTATAGCAGGAGAGAGTCAGTACACAGAACAAGGCAGAGCTGTCAGAGTGTCTGAAAGTAAGGAAATGATACCTGCTTGAGTGGAGATGGGGAGCTGTCTAGAGCTTAGTCGAATTTGATTGATTGCTTTGAATAGTGAGCAGAGCTGTGAAGATTGTGTTTGGGGCCATTAGAAAGAACTGGGGAAGATGAAGGCAGTAAATGATTGGGAAATGAACTGTTGAATGATCAGTCCAGGTAGTCTTCAGTGCTCTTCCATAGGGAGAATAAAAGGTACAAGACTGGACAGATAGTGATTGGACTAAATTCTGGAGAGGTTTGAATACAGGGAATAAAATTAGAGAGCTGGAAAGTTGTTCCAAATACAATTTAATTTAATTCCAAAATTAGAGAGTTGTTCCAAAATACAATTAGAAAGAATTTGAAGGTTGGAGGGCCAGAGGTTAGAGGTTATTGCATTGCGGGCTTTATGAGGGATTACTACAAATATCTTCATATCCTTTCCTAGAAGTTTTTCTGGCAAGCTTTCTTTTCTTGCCAGGTTAAGATTTGCCTGGGCACATGTGCTCTTGTGGTATGACCATACTGTTTCAACTGTCTTTTCTTTAAATTAGTGTCTAGGCCAGGGAAATGGCTCAGCAGGTAAAGGTGTTTACTGTCAAGTCTGACCACGTGGGCTCAATCCCTGAGACTCAGGTGGTAGAAGGAGAGAACTAACTTCTTTCTACGGGTTGTTTTTTGCCCTTCGTAAGACACACACATATACCATGCACATAAAGTAAAAGTCTCATGAACCTCAATTTGCGTATCTTTGTTAATCATAACATTACTCTGATTTGAATGCTGGGTAACTAAGTAGCATATCTTTGGTAAAAGGTTTGCAGTAAATATTGACACCTTACCTTAGTTGAAATCAGTTGATTCATCTCAGGTCCTACTGTTACTGCTTTATTTACATACAAGTCAGCACGTTGTAGCTGACTTTTGAACTGGCTACGTTTGATTTTGAGATTACTAACTTGATGAACAGTTATTTAAGCCCTTTCTAATTTTTGGTGTTATATTTTGTTTTTACTTATTGTAGGGAGAGGACCACTGTGGGGAGCTGGTTCATTCTCACCATGTGGATCGCAGGGATTGAACTCAAGTCATCAGGCTTGGTGGCAGGCAACTTTACCTGCTGTCTTAGATTACAAATGTCTGGCAGTCTGAAGAGATTTAAAACAGTATCTGGTGGCTTTTATTTTTAAATCTTAGAAATGAAAAAAAGAAAGATTAAACCCTAGAAAAGGCCATTTGGTTATGACACACAGATAAGGAGATGCTGGTTTAGCTGCTTTCCTCAAACTGCTGCTGCCTCAGGGTTCCTTGGCAGTTTCCGTGGACTGCAGAGGGTTCTCTGTAGTATTTTCAGCTGTTGAATAAAGTCGTGTTACACATAAATAATTTTAGATAATTTTAATATGGTTTTAGTAGTAGATGAATAATATTTAATAATTTAGTGCTTCTTGTCCAGGAATGAGTCTTCAGAGGGTGATTTGAATGAATGAACTTTTTCATAAAATTTGTGTTTTTTCTAAAAAAAAAAAATTTAAAAATAATTTCTGAAGATTTTCTATTTCTTGTTACTGTTACATTTATTTTTGTTTTCTAGTGGTTAATACTAGAGTTTTGGAACGCAGTTGTTTTCCTTTACCCTCCTTGCTGAATTCCTCTTTTGTAAAAATAGGTATTTGTTATTTTGGATTTTCTAATTTCCAGATGTCTATAGATAACCAAGATGTGTTTTACAGTTTAGATGGCAACTACCCTGACACCCCACATCATCTTTACTTTTGAGAAAAGCTAGCTTGGAGAATAAAATTTACAAGGGAGGGCACAATAAAAATTGAGGACAAACCATAGATAGACAGAAAGATGAAGGTGGGAGGGACCACAATGCCTGCTGCCTTTTATGCACTTTTGCTTAAGTCTCAGTTTAGTGGATTTTAGAGAAGAAAATGTTGTAGATGAGGTAATTAAAACAATACTCAACACCTTATATACTCTGAAATGTGTTATATAAGAAAAAAGTAATGTGAAATTTTAACAGTTGACCTCTTTTAAAAAATGGTAGTATTTAAAGACTTTTTTTCTGTTGTTCCATAAGTTAGCCTTGTGGCATGACTCATTAGAAATAGCCCACTTCTCTCACTGACTTGCTCTTTCTCTGAGACAGGGTCTCACTGTATAGTCTTGAGTTACCCAGAGTTTGGCCTCAAACCCTGTAGACCAGGCTGGCCTCAAACTCAGATTCTCCTGTCTTTGCCTCCTGAGTGCTGAGACTAAATGGTTGCACTATATCAGCCTGGCAGAAGCAACTCTCTTGTATCAAGTTGAAAATGGTGATTTGATAAGATTTTCCTTTCCTTGAACTAGTTCTGCAGTGAATATTGTGCCTTCTACTAAGCAGTGAAGGTTAAAGCATGTGTTTTCTTGCAGATACAAATCATTGTTTATGTTTACTCTGAGCGACTAGAAAAAGGAAGGGAGATTTCTATGTGTGAAGAAGTGCTGTCCTGGTAGTGTTAGGACTTGGGAGAAGCCTTTGTATAAATGTTTTGTTATAAATAGTGGTTAGGTCTGCAGGCTTTACTTTGAAAAGGTAGTTACATTAAAATTTTTTTCATTTGCATTTGTGCCATGTATTTGGAAAATATGCGGTTTTAATTTTAAAGAAATTACTCAACACATTTGCCTAGATCACAACTTTTTTATAAGACAGAATGCAATTGTATTGTTCAGTTTCATTAGCTGAAAAGCGGTAACTGAAAGCTAGGGAAGATTAAACCTCTGCAGCATAAGAAACAATGGTGAAAGACTTTTTGATCCTTTAAATATTTGCTTTTGTTGTTTTGATACTTGTAGAGCCGATCATCAGATGTGCATTCATCTGGATCTTCAGATGCGCATGTAAGTATAAAAGATAGCATTTTTTGTTTTTCCTTAGAAAATAAACTTTTCTTTATATATATATGTATGAGTTATACGGCAAATGAATACAATTATGTTGTGTGAACTTTAATTGTGTCTGCCTTTGTGTGTGTGTGTGTGTTTTTAAAAAACAAACTCCTTCATTGTTGACTTAGATTTCTATCACAACCAGTCCCACAGCTGTTCATTCCCAAAGAAACACACAGAGGTCTGCATTAATCATAAACTGGTTGGCCTATTAGCTCAGGCTTCTTATTAACTCTTGTAACTTATATTCGCCCATTATTCTTGTCTATGTTAGCCATGTGGTTTGGTACCTTTTATCAGCGGGGCATTCTCATCTTGCTTCCTCTGTGTCTGGGTGATAACTGCAGGCTGAACCTTTCCTTTTCCCAGAATTCTCCTGTTGTCATCGCACCGCCTCTACTTCCTGCCTGGTTGCCCCATCTATACTTCCTGCCTGGCTACTGGCCAGTCAGCATTTTATTAAAATACAAATAAAAATCTTTACAGGGTACCAGACCATTGTCTCAGCACCTCATATTGCATTAGAAACTTGACGTGTATTTTTTATCTTTATGTGTTTGTTTACATAATGATTACATTATATACACCCTTTTCTTGCTGCACATTGTATCTGCCTCTCGAAATCCCTGCAAATCAGCTGGCATAGAGGGTGCTGATCAGTTCTTTCTCATGATATAATGTTCCACTACAGAAAGGTAGATGTATTTGTTTTCTTAGTGGGTACATGCCTTTTTTTTATTAAACCTTTTTGGCATTTTGAATACTGCAATGGCTATTTTTTCCCATGTTATAGCAATATTCAAAGTATGGTGTGCAGGCGCCTCCTACAAGCTGTTGAGAACCTTTTGGGAATATGTGAACTCAGAGCTATTTTATAATAGGGGCATTGGGAGATGGCTTAGTAAGTACTCGTTACAGTATCTGTGTGAAAGCTGGGCATGGTGATTTCTGTTTCATTTAACCTTTGTCCTGGGTAGACAGACAGGTGGATGGCTAGCCAGCTTCTGTGAACTGTTGAGTTCTAGGTTCAGTGGAAGATTTTGCCTCAAATAATAAGGTGGCAAGGGACTAGGGAAGATACTTGACACCAACCTTTGGACTCTAGATTCAAGCATGAACACGTGAACATGTGCTCTCCCCCCATGCTTCATGTAGGACCCAATAAAAAGCCTTTTGTAAAAATGCCAAGGTTTATTTGCCTTTCTGTTTGTGTTGACATTTTCCCTGATGGCACAGAAACAACTGGTAGGCAAACTATTGGCACATTAGCATGAATCAAGGAAGTGACTCTAAAATAAGCTTGTATTCATTCCTATCATATACAGTAAAATAGGCTAGTTTAAAATGTTTTAGAGGGTGAGCCTGGGTGGGGGCTATGCCTATAACCCCAGGATAAAGCAGGAAGGAAGATTGTGGAATCACGAAGTTGAAGCTGACCTACAATTTTAACAGACCTTGACTCAAAAAAGTATTGTTTTTAGTAAAGTTGTAAAATTCTTAAGACTCGACTCATGTATGGGTCTTTCATTTTCATATCCTCTGATGAAACAAGTATATTAAGTCTGCTACTTCCTAGCGTACTGAGTAACTACTCTGTAAAGTACCATTCTTACTTCATGGAATGCCTGATGTATAAACTTGTTATCTGACTTGGGTATTTGACAGGTTATTCTCTTGAAAGAGAAGGAAAGAACTTGTTACTTCAAGAGTAACAAATGTTTCCAATATAATATTTGAGCTTTCAAAGGCAAGTCAGAGTTTTTGAAAAACTCTTAAGGAATTTACTTATAACATGATGTTGTTAATGATGTGTTTTTAGATAACCTAGTGAAATTTGTCAATATATAGACACTTTGGATTAATTCTAGTTTTTAGTACTATGATGTTATTTTTGAAACCATTTTTAAAACTTTATCTGAAGATGGATGCATCTGGACCCTCAGATAGTGATATGCCAAGTCGAACACGACCTAAAAGCCCAAGAAAACACAATTATAGGAATGAAAGTGCCCGTGAAAGCCTTTGTGATTCTCCTCATCAGAATCTTTCAAGAGTGAGTATTGCTAAAGCTGACAAAGGATGGTTAACACTTTTACTTTGTCCTTGCTGAGTATGATGGTTGGTACTGTTTCATTTTGTACTATTTGAAATTAATACTTTTATTAACAATAAACTCCCATTTATTTAAAGAAAAATATGTAGTTTATATTAGATGTTTCATTGAAGATGTTTAATTTTATTTGGAAATTTTTTAACTATAAAGTGGTTATTGTCATGTTTATTGAGCTACTAGGCATATTCAGCCAATTAAGACAGTCCTTGATCTGGTGAAATTGTTCAGTTGGTAAAGGTGCTGGCTGTTCAAGCCTAGACCCAGGTTAGATCTCTAGAACCCATGCATAGGCGGATGGAGAGAAATGACTTTACAAAGTTGTTCTCTGACCTCCACAGACATGCATTGGTGTGCATACCACCTACCCACTATGTGAACATATACACAGTATAAAAAAGATGCAGTCCTTGTGTTCTAAGAACTTATTTCTCTCTGAAAACAAATAGGACTAGATATTAGTCATTTGGGTAAGTGGAGTCCTGGGGCAGTCAGGAACACAGAGGTTCTCTTCTGTGTGTGTATACGTGTATGTGCGCGTAGGTGCAAGTAAAAGCCAGTGGTCAACATTGGGCATCTTTCTCAGTCACTCCACCTTGTATATTGTGAACCAACATTCCTCACTGAATCTAGAGCTCCACTTCCATTCTGCAAGCCTGGCTAACTGTTGAGCCTCAGACACGCAGTACTGGGGTTATATAGACACATAGCCATTACCACTGGCTTTTTGCATAGGTTCTGGGGATCCATATATAGGTTCTCAGTGATGTAGACATTGCACTGACTGAGTTATCTCCTTGATAAATGGGTTCTTTACTACAAAGCATCCCTGGGTTTTTTAGTTTTTAAAAATCTATTTAAAGTAATTTTTCTTGAGGTAGGTATTTAAGTTAGTGGTGGCATAGTTGTCTAGCATGTATGAGGCCCTATATTCAATTCCTGTCACTATTTTTTAAAAGTGTACAACTTAATTTTTCTCTTGAAAAAGTTCAGAAGATATTAAGTCGTCATCAGCCAGCATTAAACCCTGATCATGCTTTTTTTTTCTTTTTTGGTCCTTCGAGACAGGGTTGCTCTGTGGCTTTGGAGCCTGTCCTGGAACTCACTCTGTAGACCAGGCTGGCCTTGAACTCAAAGAGGTCTGCCTGTCTCTGCTCCCTAAGTGCTGGGATTAAAGACGTGTGCCACCGCCGCCCAGAACTTTTTTTACTTTTTAAAAAAAGACAGGATCTGGATCTCTATGCAGTCCTTTATGTACTAGAACTCTCAACGTGGGCGATCTTCCTGACTTTGCCTCCACAGTGCTGGGATTAAAGACTTGCTCTGAAACATCCAGCCTGGTCATATATTTCTAATTTTTTTAAGCATAAATATGTTTTTGCCTTTCCGAGATACATTTCATAGGAATACATCTTAAAATAGCATATTATCCCAGTATTTTTATTTCAGAAAAAAACCCTAACTTTTACATAAATGATTGTAGTGTTTCTTTGAGAAACACTCAGTAATTTTTTTTGCCATTATCTGTTCTGGATACCTAAATGTAGCTGTTAGGATATTAATAAAGTTTGAACACACAAATCTTATATTTTGTTCATTCCTTCCTTCCTTCTTCTACCACCCCCCCTCCCCCGCAGGGGGGTGAGTTCAAGACAGGGTTTTTCTGTAGTCCCGACTGTCCTGGAACTTGCTCTGTCAGTCAGGCTGGCCTCGAACTCAGATCTGCCTGCCTTTGCCTCCCGAGTGCTGGGTGGGATAAAAAGCATATGCTACCATTCCCAGCCACAAATTTTGTTTCTTAAAATTGTGTTTTTTTTTTCCTTGAATTTCTGTGTAATTTTTGTTTGTTTAAACCTTTTAAGTGTACGCCAATGGCCTTGAATGATGGCAGGACAGTTTTCTTTCATTTTTGAGGAAAAGGTGACTTTTGACTCTGTTGAAAAAGTTGACTTTTGAGGCTGGAGAGATGGCTGTGTGGTTAAGAGCACTTGCCTCTTTTTGCCAAGGACCCAGGTTTAGTTCCCAGTATCCCACAGGTGGCTCACAACCATCTTTTATATAGTTCCAGGGGATCTGACACTCTGTTGAATTAGGAGCGGCAGGGCTGCATCCCCGGCACCCGGCCGTCCGCATGGCTAGGTTATGCCCAGAAATAATTACACGGAAACTGTATTCTTTCAAACACTGCCTGGCCCGGCTAGTTGCAGTTTCTTATTGGTTAGCTCTTACATATTGTTCTAACCCATTTCTAATATTCTGTGTAGCCCACGAGCTGGCTTACCAGGGAGGATCTTAACCTGCGTCTGTCTGGAGCAGGAGAATCATGGCGACTCCTTAACTAAGCTTTTTTTTCCCCAGCATTCTCTTGTGTTTACTCCACCTACCTAATTTTCTGTCCTATGAGGGCCGAGGCAGTTTCTTTTATTATTAACCAATGAAAGCAACAGATAAGATACAAGACCCACCTCCATCAACACTCTCTTCTGATGTCATTGTGCACCAGGCACACGTGTAGTGCACATGCAGATATGCAAGCAAAGCATTCATAAAATAAGTAAAAATCTTGAGAGAGATTGCTTTAATTGATTGTCTTTTGTATTATTAACTGCTTATCTTTCCCAGAGGTCTTTTGATGTAACTTCACTAAGTGGCCTCAGTGTTTCTCTTCTATACGAATTTTCAAAGTAATTTCGTTATTTAACTTTTTATTATAATAAGAAAGAGAAACACTTCAGATTTCAGTATTTTAGGTTGTATTTAATTAACAATCCTACCTTTTAAGTTTGTGAATCAAATGAGTAGCATGGAACAACTGAAGGCCTATAGACCATTTAAACCAGATTTCAGAAGGCATCTACTTCTAAATGGTACATATGAAGGCTTTATTAAAATACTGTAACCTTGGACTGGCTAGGTGGCTCAAGTTTTAAGGATACTTACTTGCCACCAAACCTGACCCACCCAAGTTTTTTCCTTGGGACCTACATGGTGGATGAAGAGAGCCAGCTTTCTTAAGTTGTTCTTTGGCCTTCACACACATGCTTTGGTACATGCACTCTGTCACATGCAAACACAAAAATAAAATGTACTAAATTTTTAAAAAATGTTTTCTCTTAAAAACTGAGAATTTCAATGTATATATGTTTTGATCAAATCCAATCTCCATTCTTCCCTTTTCAACTCCTCTCACATCTCCCTTCCCTTCCAACTTTTTGCTCTTTTTCTCTTAATTTTTGAAATTTTAATTAAAGTAAAATTACATTATTTCCCCTTTCCTCCCTCTAACCCCTCCGGTGTCCCCACCTCCTGGCTCCTTCTCAAATTCATGTCCCCTTTTCCATGATTATTATTGTTTTCCACATGCCACTTGCAGAGTTGGTTTTAGTGTTGCTTATGTGTATGTGATTTCAGGGCTGATCTCTTGGTGTTGTATAACCGGTTGTGGACCTCATTCCCGAGGAAACCTAATTTTCCCTCTCAGCAGTCTTTAGTTTCCTGTCTTCTCTAGAGATAGGGCCCCTGGAGATTTCCCTCTTCCACTTAAGATGTCTGTTGGTGATGTTATTATTTGAGTCTGTTTAGGCAGCCGTGTTAAGGTATCATGGGTGTGGCTTCATTTATTTTGAGGAGATAATCTCAAAGCAGACTTGCTGGTCTCTGGCTCTGAAGTCTCTTCCTCCAGTTGTGTTTTAGGTATATTCCTTGGGTTTGGGCACCTTGCAGTCAGTTGTTACCTTTATTTTGAACAGTTGTAGTTTTCTGTGGTGGTCTCTGACTGCTGCAGAAAGAAGCTTCTTTGAGGGTGAGAACTTCATTTATCAGGCAGAGGCACCTCTCACCCCTTTCCATATCTGGAGCTAGCTAAGCCTGTGTGTGTGGAGATGTCAGTGGGCAAACGAAAGGATGGAGGAGGGAAGGATGACTTCCCACTTTTTCCTTTTTAAACCCACTGGGTCTCAGTGCTGCCAGATACAGTGTTCTTAGAACAGTTGAGTAATTCATCTGCTTAGCATAAGAAGTGTTTTAGATTTTGGAATTTTATTTTTTTATTTTACTTTTAGATTTTGCCTTTTGAATATTTTCTTATATCTGAGGTATCTTGGTCATGGGACTAAAGTCTAAACATAAAATCCATCTCAGTTTTGTATATATCTTATACATACAGCCCAAAGTAATTTGTTACACAGTATTTTGCACCTAGCTTTTGACTGCAACCTGTTCCTTGAGATCAGGTATAGAACCTTCCACTTGTGGTATGGAGATTTTGGATTTTCAGATTGCTCATTTATTGTTCAAAAATTATTGATAGAGTTTTATATATACTGACAACTGAAATTTGTAGTAGATGGTACATTCTCAGCAAAGAAAATGAAATTATGTTAATACCAATATTTTTTATAAATAAGGTGCTTAGTTAGGTTATAAAAGGGTGTGATGTGATTTGTTATACCTGAATTGGAACTTACAGATGGCTTCCTGAGAGTGGAAATTTATGACCCTGTCACTTGAGGATCTGTTTTCTGTCATTGCTACTTTTGCCTGGAGATGTCTATATTTTCCCTCTATGCTTTTGTTTTTGTTCTAAGCCTTGGTATCTTAGTTTAAGATTTGTTACATTCGTTTATGATGTGGAAATTTGTTTAGTTTAATGATGCAAAGATGTGTTGCATTCTTTTTTCTTACATTTGTTTAACTTTGCCTGCCCTTTTGATCTAATAAAGAGTTGAATGACCAATAGCTGGGCAGGAAAGAGAAACAGGTGGGGCTGGTGGGCAGAGAGAATAAATAGAAATCTAGGGAAGAAGAGCGAAGAGTTGGAAAGGAGAAGAGGGAACCTGGGGCCAGCCATGGAGTAAGAAGGAAAGAAAGATATGTAGAATAAAGAAAGGTAAAAAGCCAAGAGGCGGGGGCTGGAGGGATGGCTCAGAGGTTAAGAGCACTGACTGCTCTTCCAATGGTCCTGAGTTCAATTCCCAGCAACCACATGGGGACTCCAAGCCATTTGTAGTGAGATTTGGGGCCCTCTTCTGGTGCTGCAAGCAGAATACTGTACACATACATAATAAATAAATAAATAAATAAATAAATAAATAAATAAATAAATAAATAAATAAATAAATAAACAAACAAACATTTAAAAAAAAGCCAAGAGGCAAAACGTAGTTAAAGAGGAGCTGAATAATTTAAGTTAGAAAAGCTAACTAGAAATAAACCAGGCTAAAGGCTGGGCATTCATAACTAAGAATAAGTCTCTGTGTATTTATTTGGGAGCTGGGTGGTGGGCCCCCAAAGAGTAAAAAACCCAACTACACTTTGATTTCTGTTTCTTTGTTATTTTAACCTCTTTTTCCTCTTAAAGCCTTTTGCCTCTTACCTACTTAGAGTTAGGAAATAAACATTCCTCAATGAGTGGGTATTTACAGACCCAGCCTGAGATAGCATCTGCTTGGACCCTAGCTTTTCTTTGCATTGATACTTTAAAACAGTAACTCTTTTAAAGACTTGGTTGTCAATTTAAATGTGTTAAATTCATAGGTAATGTTAAAATTTGTATGTAAAGACAATCTTTTTGTTTCTTTTCATAGCCTCTTCTAGAAAACAAGCTTAAAGCATTCAGTATTGGAAAAATGAGCACAGCAAAGCGAACTTTAAGTAAGAAGGAACAAGAGGAACTGAAGAAAAAGGTAATGTTGAAGTGTATCTTAGGTTATGCTTGGAAATGATTGTGTAAGGGAGCAGTAGAAGCCATGTCTCCTGAAGAGTTCTACTTCTTAGATGTCTGCAACTCTACACACACACAGAGGGATGTTCAGATGAGCTCAGCTTCTCTGCCTGTCCTCTGTGTGATGATTAGTTATCTTTTGATGTGTTCTTTTTGTCAGAGTGTGAGTGTGTGTGTGTGTGTGTGTGTATACTGTATCGTCCCATTTCCCTTGAAATAACATGCTGTAGAGTGAGAGTACTTAACCTCATTTACCTTTTTAGCCAAATGTTATCTTTGTGGCTACTTGTAGGATAGAAAAAGTCTACATTTTTATGGCTTTTGTAGGTTTATAATAGTCTGTTCATTTAAAAGCCTATTGAGGGATTTGTGGTTTTGCTCTTTGGATATTATAGTACAAATGCTTTTTATGAATAGGTATTTTTTTCTTTTGGGACTCCTGAAAGGGGAGATTGTTGGAGTGAATGGTGTTTTAGTAAAAGTGAGGGCCCCAGCCCATACACTTGCATGTGGTGAATCCTATTGACGGGGTCTTTGCCAGTCTGTAATGTAGAAATAATACCTCAATGTAGTGTTGACTTCGCAGTTCTTTCAGTGGGAATACAGTTGAGTAGCCTCCTTCCATTGTATTTTTTTATTTTTCTTCTGGTTTATTCTTGTAAATCTGTTTTAATCAGTTGCCAGTCTCCCCCATGATTTTTTGTTATTAACTAAATTGTTTTCCTTACTTTTCCATTTCTGGCTTATAGAAGAATTTCCCTGTATTTTCTTATAGAATTTGCATTCTTAGGAGAATCCCAATGAATTCCTAGGGTTGTTTCCATTTTTAAGAAATTTTAATCTTTATGCAGTTTTTCCTGACATATAACACAAAGAATTGATTTCATTTTATCTCTTTTCAAATAGTTGTTATGCAGTTTCATTTATGGGAAAGTCCGTGTGTGTATCTCCTTCTGACACTAGCCACCCCTTTTACTGATATGTTTACCCTTTCTTGAGTACAATTTTCTACTTGTTATTGGATGTATTTCTTTCTTGATTTGTTCCACTCTTCTGTTTGATTTGGGTTTTTGAGGTAGATTCTCACTATGCAGCTCAGGCTGGTCAGGAACTCTGTCTTCCTGCTTTCACCTCTGAAGTAATAGGCATGCACGACCATACCCAGCCTGGTGTGTGTGTGTGTGTGTGTATATAT